TTGTGGCTTGTATCTGCTGCAGGATCGAGTCATGCACCTTTGGTGCACGTCCGCTCCGGGTGCTGTGGAAAGTGTCTACTTAGTGCTCCTCTGTGGCTGCTTGAAGCTCATTAATGCCGTGAGTGCTCAGTTAATTACAGGGGCTTCAACCTCTCTCTTGGTCTCACGTAGCAGTATGCAACCAGCACTGCTCTGCTTAGCGTATTAAAGCATCCAAGGCTGTCCAAAATCCAGGCAGAAATTTGTATTTCTTAAATTTTATCTTTATACATTACTGAGATAGGAGACAGAAGTTGGGCCTGATGATCCCTATGGGTCACTTCCAACACAGGATATTCTATGATGTGATGTGTTCGCCTACTAGGTGATCAACCACTCTGTACTCTAAGCTTTCATCTTAAACACTTGGAAGCAAATTCTATTTTTTTAAATTAAGGAAATTCTCCCAAGAGAATTCTCTCCTCTAACTCTTTAATTTTGGGATAATGTAAAAACAACGCTTTCCATATCACAATGCATTGCAACCACTGGCAGCCTACAGGAGAAACGAGCCACTCTGCACTGACCAAAGGATGAGCTCTTCCCAAACAAGGGATGGAAAAAATGATGTGTGCTCTGTAAGTAGAAAGGTGCGTGTGCATGCCAATGGAAACAACTCCGAGGAGATGCAATCAAGCAGTGCAGTGAGGTATTGTTCCCTCTTTGGGGATGTTTTAGAAAATCTGTGATCTTCCAGACAGACACAGAGGTGTTTTCCTGAAATCAAAGTATTCAGACTCATTATGAGAACGTGCCTTTATTTCCCCAGACACTCAGTTTTTGGGCTGGCTTTGCAGTGACAACATGAGGCATCCTGGAAGAAGGAAGTTCTGGGGTGCTGCAGTTCAGGATATGCAAAATAAAGTGAGTAGTCTATTCTTTGTGACAAGAGCAATGAGGTAACCTAACCCTGCACATGGAAGCATCCCCTCAGAGCAGCTCAGCGCTTTGGCAATGCTTCTCCTGCTGTCAGTAGCTGCTGTCAGAGGGCACCAGCAAGGTACTTAGCAAACCTGACACTTCCCAATAACCCACCCAAGCCTTTTCTGCTGGAAAAACTTGTGGGAAGCCAAAGTGCATGGACACCAGGCAGCTGAATCTGTTACTGTTTCAAATATAAGCATTTTTTTAAACCTGAGCATCTGTAGACCATTCAAAGCTCCCCAATTTCAATCAGCAGAGAGGAAATTTTCCTTGCCTTGCTTAGAGTTCTCAGTGCTACAGGTAGAAACGGGCAGAGTTCTGCAAATGGTGATAAAAAGTCTCTGAAGATCTGATTCCAACTCACACATTGGGAAGAGAAGAATTAAATATATTTAATCATGCGTGGTGCTACCACTCCCCCTGTCAACATAAGAATTAGAGGGAAGGGAAAAGGATGCTTGACAGGACAGATGGAGCAAGAAGAACAACACTGAAATCTGAGCTAAGTTTGAACATGCAAAGACGGTGAAGGGTCTGGAGGACAAGCTGGACAAGGAGCACTGAGGCCCCTGGGTTTGCTGGGCACAGAGCAGAGGAGCTGAGAGGAGGGCTTATGGCCATTCAGCTCCTCACAGGGAGTGGAGGGCAGCACTGAGCTGTGCTCTCTGCAACGGCAACAGGGCCGGAGGGAATGCATTCTTTTCTGGGTACCTGATTTCTTTCCAAAAGGAGCATCTTTGAGGTGTGTTATATCACTGACCACATACATGAACCATGAGATGGCTCTGAAAGGGAAGAAGCAGCCAAGCCGACAGAGAAAGCTGGGGTTGGTCTTACCTTTAGGAGTGGTGTTTCCAGGTCTGAAGGCTGCCCGGTACGATCGTGGTCTGGGCAAACAACTTGAAAGCACATTTTTATCAATTTGACACCTATTCTCCCCAAGATCATTTAAGATCAAAGTCTTGCCAAACCATAGTTCAAAGAGCAGGCTGTGCACATCTCTAAAAGGTGTGGAAAAAAAACCCTGAATTTAAACCATTTTCATTGTGGCAGGAGCAGGAACCTTTATCTCTCGCTGCTTTGCTTGTTTGTGATCGTGTCCTCCTACCTGAAGATAAGACTGTTTTGTTTTCAGTGTATCATTTTAATTATGCTGTTTCTCAGCTCACTGTGTATTCTTCACCCGTATCATTTAACTTTCTCATGGGATACTAAAAGGGATTGAAAACACCCTGTGTCTCTGAGCCCCAGCGTCTGCTCTGTAACAAATCCTTTTGCAACACATTTTATACATTGCACCAGGTCTGTTTCTATCCTCAGCTCTTCCATGCGAGTGTTGTTGGATGGTCAGGAAATCTTTTCCTACCTTTCATAATCCATTTATTCACACATCAATCGTGGGCCAATGCTATCAGTGGTGTTATCTCACACCCACCTGCATTTTCTAGCCCAGACACATACCTAAAGTAACCGTACCACCATGTGGCCTTCACCTTTGGCAGAGGGATGCAAAGCCCTCACGTATGTGCCTGCTCAGACCCAGACCTGTGTCCGAGTTGCCCCACAACCCAGCATGTCAGAAAACACAAGCTGGTAACCCTGCTCTATGGCACTCTGTTGCCTTTCAGTTAATATCCAGAAATAACCAGGCTGAAGGAAGGAATTATGGCCCTGGGCCCATGTTTCTTAATTTCTGGGCAAGCTTGGGCAGATTCTAGGTAGTTATAAGGAAGATGATGCCCATGATTCCCTCCTCTGGGGATACTGTGTTTCCCAGGAGTTTCTCTCTCTGAAGAGATGCAGAGGTACAGCTGCAAGCACACCTGCTGTGATAAGGATGCCCTCAAAGCAACGGCATCCCAAGGTTGGGCAGCCATTAATGGGGAGACTTCACTGAGGACTCAGGTTTCCTAACCAACTTCCTACCAACAACCCGTAGGTCTCATAGCTAAGTAAAGCTCAGTCCTCGCTCAAGCCTAATGCAGGATAGGAGTCAGGCATCTATTTACGTACCTAAATCCCAGTCTGCTCCAACTCTTCCAGACACATTCTTGATCCAAAGCCATGCTGTTCTGTGACACGAGGCTGCTCACAGCATGGGGACAGCCTAGGGAGACAGCCCTAGGCTGGTGTCACCTCTCCCTTCCTCACCTCTCCTGCTTTTCCACAGCATGCACCATTTTCCTCAGAAAAAAAAGGCATTCTAACAGCTTAAAATTGACATAGCTGTTGGTGGGGACTCCTCCCAGGATGCAGAAGGAGATCTAATGGGATGCAATTCAAAGTGCTATGTACTGCTCAGTATGACACTTGTACAGCTCACATGCAAGCTCCATTTGATGTATATGGTTCTTTGGCAACGTATCAAGGACAAACCCTAGCTCTCCAGTATCAGCCATTTGACATGGGCTCTGTATCAAATCGCTCATGGATTCAACAAAAGGCATCACGGGGGGTGAGGCTGTGGGTATTTTATGCAGGTGGGCTTCCTCTTTTGTGCCTACAGCTTAAACTATAATTGAAATTAAACATGAACGTCTGCTGTCAGCTCTAGTCTACATTCCAGTGCAAGAGGACAAAGTATAAAGGAGAATTTTCTTTATTTTTAAATATTAGTAACACTGCACAAAATGAAAAAGTGATACTTAAGTGACAGAAAACTGGTACTCAGGCTTATTTCATATTGAGCTTAATTTAACACCCTAACAGTTCACGTATGGTTATATGTTTGCGTAAGGTTACATTATGCCATGTATTTGAAGCTAAACCGCTCAGATACCAGACACGGAATTTGTTACATCAAACCATGCTAAAATGCAGACTTGATTTTTCAGTTTAGCTCCTTCCTTACACCATTATATGCATTGCTCTATTAGGATGAGTGAGTTTCTCCAGGAACTGCGGACTTTCAATATTGCCAGATTTAAGTCTGTTACATCAACAGCGCATTGGCGAGAGGAGACACAAGGAACAACACAAAACCATGGGCTGGTAACTCCCGCCTGGAGGTTAAGAAGAGAGGCAACAGATTGACAAGAAACATGCAGGTAAATGCTTAAGGCAACAGAAGGGCTCTGTACAAACTAGAAGGTTAAGGGAAGCAATATATCATGCACATGAGAAAATTATGGGAAGCAAGGAAGTAACTTAGCCAGAGAATGCAGATTTCCTTTAAACTGAAGACACGTTTTCAAATTTAACAAAAAAAAAAAAAAGTCCTGCAATAAAAGTGACACAGAATGCTTTCATACATAAAGATGTGAATTCTTTGCAGAAACAACCTGATAAAATCTTACACAGATTCTGAAATACGTTCATTATCTAAAATCTACTCAGCAGGAAGAGCAGTTGTAAAATGGCACTTAGGTCATTTGTCTCTAGTTTCTGAAAGCAAAATTTTAAAATAAGGAATGATTTCACTAAATGATTCATTGGGAGTCAACCACAGTTGAAGAAATCAGTAGGAGTGCTTACAGACCGTGATTATGCCAAGTTAAAACCAAAGGATGTAACTTCATCATACACTTTAAAATGAAGGATCATTCTGATAGCGGGGACAAGCCTTTGCTGCCCAGCTTGGGTGATAAAAAGAAAAAAAACATTGAAGTCATTTATTAAGTTTGCATAAATTACCATATGAGAGAGCTCACGTCTCAGTCCTACCCTCAGTGATGGAGGGAACAGGATTGGTGCTTTACTCTTCTTTCAGCAAGCCTGCTGGTGATGCTGGGGTGACTGAACAAACAGGCGTTTGCACAACTCTCTGTATCCCACAAAACAAATTAATTCTAGGCAAGGGGAACTTCAGTCCCAGGGAAGGAAGAGGTAAGAGATTCTGTAATACCCTCCAATCTTCAAACATAACACACTTCTAACCACGATCAGCCCCATCCAAACTCCTTAACCTGACTGGCAAGAAAGCCACTCCGTGAAAACTAAAAAGAATAATATAGTGCAATTTTAGTACAGTCTTAAACATGAGTCACTTCCTTACTAGCAGTGTGAACAACTGAAAAATATACACAGAAGAGGTGTGCTCAAATGTAACGTAAGTTGCCGTTTTAATAAAGGGATTGGCATAGCAGAGATGTCCATTTTAGTAACTCCCTTTGGTTGACTTCTTCTTCTTCTGTTCCTCTCTCTGCTTCTGCTTCCTCCTCTTGCTGCCTTCTTTGTATCCTGAGGAAACAGGGCTTGTGAAACACCATTCACAGTATCCATGGCCTTTTCTATCTATCAAAAGCACACATTCTCTGAATGGTTTAAAGAGTCTTAAAGAAAAGATCTGGCTTTCCAATTTTTGTTGGTTTGTTTTTAAATCATCTGTTCTACTAGGATAGAAGGAAAACCGCATCTATCTTTGAAGTCTGAAAATATCTGAGAGCTTTCAAAAGACTTCAAAGCCATTCAGGAAAAGCTTCAAAATCAGAACACATGCAAACCCAGAATGATTTTCCAAACGGAAGCAATAAGTAAGACTTACACAACAGGAGCCATTTCAGTACTGGTGTTTCCGGCCCACGGGAGTTAAAGAGTTACCACAATATTTGCATTTCCATTTAAAGAATAGGGAATGCTGAGAATTCTGAGCAAATAAGGTGCTCCGTGTTTACCAATATGCATTTTACATGCAGGTCATCAGCCTGCTCATGCTCAACAATGCACCATAGGCTATACTCTACTGCAGCTCATGGAAGCATTATGTTCAAGCAACAATTACTTGCTACTGGTTCAATAGGCACAAGCTTCCAGCCGTGTGATCATCATCCCAACACTGGTTTTCAACCCAGAGAAATGCATGGAGAACAGTTCCTGCTCTGCATCCTGTCTTCTCCTCCAAGTTGGCAGCAAAGCGCAGCCTTGCCAGTGCTGTGCAGAACCAGCACCATACCTACCAAGTGCACTTTGAAATCTCAACCCAGAGGTAGCACATATTTCCCTCAAATAACCAAAAGCAAATCATGCCATGAGGTGTCAAGAGGGATCTTCTAGCTCAGTGGTGTTCTGCCCCTGGGAATCTGTGCGCTCTGCACAGGGAATGGGGCCCCTACAAAACACATGGGATCCAGGCTGAGAGTTGAAGAATGGCCAGCAAGGACACAGCTCTGCCTGTCTGCAATTTGGCTTCTGCTCTCCAGTTGGTCTCTAAGCAGTTGGATAGGACCCTGAGAATGCCACCTCACCACAGTTGATCCCTCCAGTTAGCACCGACAGCAAAATGAAGATGGAAATAGGAAACGGCGTGAGGTCAGAGAGCCACAGTCACCAGGATGCTTTGAGCCCTTCCCGAGCACAATTACTTTTGTTGAGCTGTAGTTCCTCAGTTTAAGGCTTCAGCAGAAGCACACAATAGTGTTTGGGCTAAAGCCACTTCAGACGCTAGCAAACATTCGAGTATGAGAGGAAATACACTCCCTTGCAGCAGAGGGAAACTGCTCCAAGGTTATCACTCTAGCTCCTACACTGTATCAACAGTATTACCTCACCTTTTGCAATCATTTGAGTCAAGGACCAGGATGTTTATTTAGAAATTCTGCCATGAATGATTAGCCTGTGCAAAGTTAGAGTGGAAAACATTGTTATTGTTTAAGAAATAAAAAAAACTGCCAGCGCTTTGTGGAACTGCAGATGATGATCTGTTTGCATGGTGCCCACTCACCCTCCTGACAGAGCCCCATTCCAGGCAACACTGCCTCAATATCTCCTCAGTAGCTCCATCTACAAAGTTTACTTCCATGTCAGCCCCTCAGTCTGCCATACATTGTCAAAACTGGGATCCCTTAGCATTAAAAGATGCTGTAAGGGACAGAAGGGCTCACATATCTCTTGGGTTTCCTGCAGAGGCCAATGGAGGCAGAGGAGACATGCTGGCTCCTGAAGGTTGGTCATCCAAAGATTGTTATTCAAAGGATTCTCCTCTTCACCGGAGGGAAAAACAGCATCATATCAGCTGATCAGAACTACTTCACGTAATAACGATGAAACGTTAACACGTATTTGGGAAAGCATCATTAAACCCTAACAGGTTATTAGCGTCATAATTTTGTCATTTTTCATTTTCACAACACTGTCAGCATTTCCAAAAGGCTTCCACGTACAGGCATGACTGCTTTTGATGCGGCTATTTTATATCAATTTCTTTTTTTGTGCATTCATCTACTTTCTTCAAATGTGTGAGGTGGTGAAAAGAATCCCAGCAACTTTTCCTTAAGAACACTGTGAGTCAAATGTAAATTATGGCTCAAAGTGAATACCACATAATTCATTGTCTTACAAATGAAACAATTCAAATGTTAAAGTAATGCAGTATGAAGATATCTAGGTATTTGACAATGAGGTCTCCTACCAGCTCAGGAATGATAAGGGTAAAAAGTGGAAATCTTTCAAATGTTATCGTTGACACACAGAAACAGATGGGCCAAAGTAGGAGATAACACACAAATATAGAGTATTCCTCAGGAGAAAACTGCCACGTCCTTTCTGCTTCCAGCCTGCTGTGATAAATAATTTCACTCCCAACCCTTTCCCTTTCTACCCTCACCAAAGAAGAAAGGATAAGTCGAACTCTGTCTGTCTGTTAGCTCCAGTGATGCTATGCTGGGTGATAACAGCCAGAAACCTGATCCAAACAAGTGGAGCAGCTCCTAACAAAAATAAGAATTGCACACAAAAGATGTAACCTTTCACTGGACTGCTTCAACCAGCACTAATTAAAAGCGTATTTAGCTGCCTTGGTTGAGAAGCCTAGCCCCAAAGTCGTGAGAGAACAAAATCTGAATTAGAAAGCAGCAGCCCCATTACTATTTGATTAATTTGTAGTAAACGTGTCCTGGTGAGTCGCCAGCATCACAGAGCGCTCATGGAAACTTGCCATAGTTGCTGCCCAGCTGAGCGGGCTTCAACCAAGCAGTCCTGGTCCTGGAGAGTGGCTTGGCAAATTTCCACCTTTGGAAGTAATTGTTATCCATCTAAACTCTAGAATTGCATTCTATTAAGATAAAGAGCCTCAGGGGAGGGTGGAGGAAAAATAGTTTCTGAGAGCTTCCCAAAGCTTTGATATTTGGAATCAGACTCGCTCAAATGAAGGTAGATATCAGACTAACTTGGTACTTTCTTGCTGCTGTCAGCTGCCAGGAATGGATAAAGCAAGAATCCACGTCATTTGGAATTACACCTGCTTTACAACCTGGATAATTCTTGTCTACAATAAACAGCATCTGCTGAACCACTCTCCATTTCATTTCCCTCTCTTCTACTTCCAGAAGAACCATAAAGAGCACAGAAGTTATTCCAGTCTTCAGAAAGCTGATCAAAGCTGAAGCCAACTTCCAACACTTTGTAGCAAAACCCTCAACCACTCAACAAGGACCAAAACAAACAGGGCAGCCTCTCTGCTGAGTCCCAGATTGACTTTTCTCCTGGTTTGTCACCACTCAGCCATCTGTACCTTGCAGAGGCACAGTTATTTTCAGTCTGAATTCGTTACATTCTTGGGAGGCAATGGCAAGTGAGGTATATCACTTTCAGTGATGGATCCAAAGGGACAAGCCAGGAGGCCCCAGTGTGCACATGGAGCTTTAATGGGCCAAAAGATCATTGTGCAAGTTGGTTTTGCAGACCACGCTTCTTAATTTTCTGCTCTTAGAGGTATTTCTCTAATCAAAACAATAAATGTAAAAGTAATTTCAAAGTTTGCTAGCTTATCTGAGCTGGAGCCACCAGCTGTTACTGCAGCCTGGCCATTCTCAGAATGGCCATTACAAAAATTCACCCCCAGTCACATCTTCAGTATAATTTCATGCATGTGACTCAGTTTACAACTATAGCTCTACTTTCACATTCCCTCCTTCAGCCCAAGCCGCGGCCCAACAGAGACCACAGTTTGACCTACTAATCCTCTCACCACAACCACGGCTGCTGCCCATGCCATAGAGCATCGTGGAAAAAGAGCCTGCCTTTATGTAAAGGGCTGCAGTGACAAAACATCCCACCCTGTCTAGGTATGCCACTCCACTGTTTAATTACCTTGGCTGTTAAATCCAAGGGATGAGTTCTCCAGTTTCACTGTCCAACCCTGTGATGTAATTCACACTTTGATCTTCTAGGGGACTAAAAAAACTGTAGCCACGTACTGGGGCCTTCCTTCGTGCTTGCTCACCATACTATTTTCATTACCAATTCTGCGAAGAATTGTTAGAAGAACATACCAAGCCAGATACAACCTGCTTACCTGCTCTTAATTAAGGTAACACATTGTTGAATTCAGTCCAAGGTTTTACTCCCACATGGCAAGCAAAAGCTTGCAAGGCTTGGAAGCCCTTCCATGTGCAATCCAGCCACTTTCTATGGGAAGCAAAAGGGTAATGGGATGCTCTACTACCAGCAGCCAAAAAAAAAAAAAACAACAAAAAAACGTGCACAAGGGCAGCTCCAATAGAGCCAGGGAGGCAAGGAGCCCAGGCCAGTAGGCATTCCTTCCACCCTCTGCCCACAAAGGAGTGGGGCAGGGAGCCACACTGCGGGACACAGAGCAACGGGAGAGCTCGTTCCCATCACACCCGCACATCCAGCATTCCTCATGTATTAGGTTTCTACAGAAAACAAAGCGGCTTTACTTTCCATTACATACCCAAATGGAAGTATGTGAGGGAATTACAAGACAATTAGTCTGGACAACCAGCACTTCAAATTTACTAGTTAGTAATGCGTAATTCAGGAAATCATATGTTGGTAAGAAGAACGGACACTGTGTTAAAGACGTAATGAAGCTTGAATAGCTCAAGTTTCCAGCAGAGGAACCCATGCCAGTAAGTATCAGGATTAGTTAAGCTCATTCTTCTGAAGAGGTTTCTTTGGTGATGCCAGCAGATGAGAATGAATCAAAAATGAATTATTAATGTTGTAAGCTCTAGGTTAACGCAAGCTATTTCATTCAAAAAGAAGAGCAAACCTTGCAATATCATCTTGCAAACAACAATCTTTTGCATCAAGTATTTTCCAGTATTTTTACAGTTAAGTATTTAAATCGTTCCTGCTAGATACAGATCAAAACTCCCAAGTCACAGTTCCATTAGCAGTTGCAACCTCCAGGTCTATGCTGCACCAATATGGTACAATTTGGATACCCCTACTCAGATGAACACCACACAGTCTGGGAGTGCACTACTAGCAGTACCTGAGTTCTTGCCATAGAAGTTATCTGTTTGGAGCTAGAGAACTGTTCTCAGCAACCTCAGAACACAAGGTGAAGTTTTATTCTAAAAGACCAGTAACAACGTGAAACCTGAAGCAATTCCTACTAAAACGCAAAGCATTCCACTAAGATGGAGGATCAGATCCAACTGAATTAGCTTCGTATTAAAACCTCACTGCAGTGACCGGAAGCCCTCACAGCAGAGAGGATTCACTGCACGTCTGAGTATCGTCTGAAAGTCAGCACTGGGGAGACGTGGGCTTCACCACACAGCCCAAATGAAACCTACCCCCCGCCCTTCCGATTCAACTTGCTAAGGACTTACAAATTAAAACTCAAGCATTCCCACTCCTTAAGCTGGGAAAAGAGGACCATTTCACTGCAGGTGACTCATGAACCGCTGAGAATTTGCTTTGGGTGCTAGAGCAGGACAACATCTAAAACTGCCGTGCGGCAATCGCTGCCAAGGGCCGCGTGCCAACGGTGGCAAAAACGATCCATCCCAGTGGAGCCGCGCCAGGCCGAGCCCGTGGAGCTCTGCTATTTTCCACCACAGCTTTGGATCAAGGCAGAGAACGATGCGGCTCTTCCCCCCGCGCACGGCAGCTGTCGTGGTGATAAATGAGAAGCCAAGTGGGAGCAAGCAAGTGGTCTGTGCAATGAGAGAGCTGTGGAGCCTGCTGAGCTGACAGAGGTGAGCACCCACGGAAGAGAACAGCATTGCTGGCCAGGGCTCACGCATGAACTTCCCAGGCAGAGATTAAGACACTCACGTAGGTTTTTATGACTAACTCGACCAGTCCTTCAGCAGCCACTGTCTGTCTATCAGAGGAACAGCAGGCAAAACATTTAAAGCAACAGTAAAATCATAGTCTTGACTGCAATCCTATTTTCAACCCTGAATCTGTAATACCTGTTTTACGGCAATCTACTGGTTGGACAGAGGATTTGGGGATTGTGCAAATAATTCAGGAAATTCATTTTAATTGCAAACTTGTGCGCCTTGGAACATAAATAGACTCACAGCTAGAAGCCCAGAGCAATGTTATAACAGCTCCAAAAATTGTTCTTTGGGAACTGGTACAAAACATTGTTAGGACCACAGGGAACCTGAAGTCCCCCAAATAGCGAGCCAAGTTATTGGGTTTTTTTGCCAGCTACAAACACAGAAATCTGACCCTGTAACCCTCGTACAGGAGCCTTCAGTACATCAGCCCAGGGATTAGGTGGACGATTCTGGAGTTTTGGTTTTTTTTTCTTAAAGATCAAATCAAATTAGCTATCCCTCATGAAACTAAAAACTTCTAGTAACTGGTCAGGAAAACATTTATTTGAATATTTTTGCCAGCTGGCATTGTTTATGGTATTAGTAGGTCTTTCATACAGTATAGGGTGCTAGACTTAAAGGCTCAAATACAGTAGAATTTGGTATAGCATTGGGAACGTGTGTGCATGTGCGTGTGTTCTGGGGAACAGGGTATTTTTCCTTCATTTTTCTGCAGCACACCTTTCCCATGCACTGTGTGTGCCCTGAGGAGCCCAGGCACTCATAGTTCCCAGCAGTTCACTGAACCCAGCGCTGCTGAGAAGGGCCCTGAGCGTGGGCATCCATGCATCAAGGCATCTTCATGTTTCAGAGGCACAGAATGGCTGAAGTTGAAAGGACCTCTGGGTCCATCTGGCCCAACCCCTGCCCAGCAGGTGCCCAGCACCACATCCAGGTGGCTTTTGGAGATCTCTATGAACACCTCACAGCCTCTTTGGTCAGCCCATGCCAGTGCTAAGTCACTAACACAGTAACCTGTCCTGGCAGTCTTGAGTGAGCTTTGACCACATGTTCTGATTAAATCAAGTGGCTCTGAGTATTCTGTTGCCTGAGATAGCCTCTGGATTATATTGCCAAAACATTACAGATGGGAAGTACATCAAAGGACTAAGCACTTCCAAAAATAACCAGGCCAATTGCTACACTTCCTTGTTTGCCTGAACAGTCTCAGCCCCCTCAATTAGGATTTAGATGCCCAAAATTGCAGCTTCCAGAATTAATATGAAGCTGCTGAGCTTTTCCTTCAGCAAGGAAACCAAGCACTATTTAAATAAATGAATGTGCAAAGTACTGCGATTAGTTATTCTCTAACAGGCCTTCATTTTTAAGAACAAAGAGCACGGGCACTTCAGCAGCATAACAAAACAAAGTTTCCCCTGGATCCTTGGGTCAAGCCCTGAGTATCCCAGGGCATTTATGAATCTAGGCTACGTGGATGAGCATAGCTAATGCAGACGAAGGCACTCAAGCGGCCGTTTATTATCCACTGGGCGCCAGCATTAAGTCACACAGCAACATCCCCTGGCTTGGCTTTTGTTTTTCCCCTTTAGGCTAACTGATGAATCCTTTTTTGCGCATTTCTCATCAACATGATTTTGCACACCTGATAAATAAAAGGGGTTCTCCAAGCTGCTTGCAACCCGGCTCTTTTCTTGCTCTTCCACCTCATCGCTATTGTAATGATAGGCATATCTGGGGGAACTGGCAGGCTTGTGTGGCTTCAGCAGGCGAGTGTTGGTGGGCTGGAAGGGCAGGGCGTGCTGTCCTCTCCGTCGGCACTCCTCAGCAAAGGCTTCTTCATTTGCCTCACCTGGAAAAGCAATGAGAGTGAGAAAAGTGAGCTGCATCCAGAATGCTGAAAGGCTCACGTGAAACAATGGAAATTTGGGCTGAAAAAAGGGCCTCACTGAACTCCTGCCTCGGCTGTCTGCACACTCATGCAGAGGGCTTCAGAGCTGTCTGTAGCCAGGGGAGTGCCTGGAGCTGAAGGCTCCATCAGCTGCCTTTCACCATACTGGGGCCACCATGAGGTAGGAAGGGCGAGCAATCTGACACAATATTGCAATGGTACACAGCACAGCAGCTTGTTACACCTTGCCTTGACCATCAGCATAGGAAGGGTTAGCCCTGTCTGAGGGCGAGGGATAGAGAGAAATACTCGTGCTAGGCTAGCTATGGGGACCATGTGGGAAAACCAAAGCAAATGTGGGCTCACAGGGGATGGATGCTGGATATCTACAGCTGGAAGGGTGGTGGAGAAGCACTGGAGATCAAATGAAGGTGGGAAACCAGGCTGAAGATGCCAAAGAGAAGCACATTTCAAGGACTAAAACGGATGCACTCTCCAAAGAATGGAAGCAAAGGAAACTGAAGCCTGATGTCTGGAAAAAGTACTATGAAAGATGAGGCACCCCAGTCATTCTCATGGTATTTTGCAAATGAAGACACTCTTGCTGCAGAATATACAACAGTACCAATGCCGTGAAGTACGGAGATCAGCTACTTAAGACAAAACCCACACATCAAAAAGCAAATGGTAAGATCACAAATGAAAGCATTCCATGGGGAAAACAAGAAAACAATAAGAAAACAGAGAGAAAAACTGAAAAGAAGGGCGTGTATCAGATTTGTCTCCTAAAGGCTATTGGAAGTGTCATTAATTCAATTACTTAAATAGTTTTAATAGCGCTGATGAAATAAAGCGTCACTTTGTTTGCATCAAAAGCGATGCGTCACACTGGGGAGGTTTTCTCCTGGGCATCAGCTGCTTTGGGAGGGGTGTGTGCACTCAGCAAGTGCTCTTAGTTCACAGCTGGAAAATGCTTTGAAGATGGAAAAAGGACCACGTTTGCAGTAATACCCACAGTGTGCACCAAACAACCGACGCTCCCAAACCAAGCAGGCGGCATCGTCTTTACCTTGTAAGCGTACCCTGGGAGATGCTTCTGAGGGCATGAGGAAGAGGAGGCAAGGTATTTTTTAGGAAGTCATTTCACAGCACAACATAAGGCCTCGGGGAGAGGAGGGATCCGGCACGTGGCTCACGTCCCCATGTCCAAACACCACGCCAGCACGAGGCTGTGGGCACGCTGGTCTCTGCGGCAGGGGACGGCTGGCTGCCGTCGCATGGGGACAGCAAGGCAGCGGGCAAGGAAAAGCTCAGGGGATAGAATCATAGAATCATGAAGGCTGGAAAAGACCACCAAGATCATCGAGTCCAACTCCAACCCATCCCACCACGTCCACTGGGTCACATCGCCACGTTTCTTGAACACTTCCATGGACGGTGACTCAACCACCTCCCTGTGCAGCCTGTGCCACTACCCAACACTCTTTCTGAGATTTTTTTCCTAATATCCAACCAGAACCTCCCCCAGCAATTCCCAATTTCCCATAAGATCCTACAGGGTTTCCCACTCACATGCTATACAAACAGCACTGAAGCATGTGTCAGCCTGGTGATGCTGGCTCTATCAAGGTGAAGCCAATGAGACACCAGGAATGAGAAGGAATAGGAAAGCCACATAACAACAATCATACATGCAAAAGCCAGTCAAGATTGGTCACGTCCTAACAGTGCACCAGAACTGAGACATCCCTCCCACGGAAACACAAACCACGTTGTTTTCCTTCCAATATATAAATCTTGCTTGATGAATGTGCAGCATTTGTATTGACAAGCAAGTGCAGGAAGGAGAACTGCACTGCATTGCAGGCCCTAAAGCCCTCTGTGCATCACACCCCAATTAAACTCACAGATACCTAACACAATTGGCTATGAGACCACGTGCTTTGCACACACCCCAATAAATTACACCCAGCCGTGTAAGAGATCAATCCCACAGCTCTCCTCTAATCCAGACGGCATGAAAGGAACAGTCTGAAGAATTCAAAATAACCTTATGCCTCCCAGTGCCATGCTCACAGCACTGCTGCTCTCCTGCCCCCTCCATCAGATGCTCCCAGAGCACATTTAAGGTTTAAAGAACTCAGGGCAGACCAGGAATAAAACCAGCTGTACCACCTGCAATGCTGAGATTTAGCTGAGAAGCTTTTACCATGAGAAAGTGCAGCAACCAAGAAGTGCTGCAGCACTGCTAAAGCTTTGCCTGCGCTGACATTTGCACCGGGAAAGGCATTGAGGAACAAATTTTGGGGACAGCACTGCTCCAAAGCACCCTTGGGTCACCATCCTTCAGCTCATCCCTGCCCAGGGCACCCACGTGTGCAGTCCCACAGTGGGGACTGACCTGGGTTAAAAATAATGCTCTTTCCATCAGCTTATTTTTAACTCAGCCCAACCCCTACATGCCACAAAACCAGGGGACGGGGCAGCTCCTGGGGTCCACCTTACATCTGCCATATGCAGAAGATCTCATTAACCAAGGCAAATATTAATTAAAAGCCTCACAGCTATTTCACTTGCAAAACCAGCTCAGAGAAGTTATGCTTCTTAGGGTTAGTTCTGAAAATGAGGGTTTAGGAATGATAGCTCTAACCTTTAAAAACAGTCATTAGAGTTTGATTTTCAGGTGCTCCAATGACAAGTTGCTTCTGGTGATCCAAAGGGTGCGATGTCTCATGGCACCAAATAAGACCCCGGCACCAAAAACCAGCTTGTGGTAGCAAGAGCTGCGGCGTGGGGGGAAGGAGCAGCGCCTTTAAGCTGTCATTAACCAGCAGAGGGCAATATTGCCCATCACGTGGGCGAATGTTATCAGAAAAGTCACTGCCAACTCAGACTTACTGGGCAACATATAGATTTCATGTGTTGAATGCAAAGTGTGAGCAGGATGCTTGGCTGGGGTGGGCGCTCCAGGGAGCCAAAGGGCCCACGTCCACTCCTGGGAAATGGAAATCGTGGAATCATAGAATGGCCTGGGTTGAAGAGGACCACAACGATCATCCAGTTCCAACCCCCTGCTATGTGCAGGGTCGCCAACCAGCAGACCAGGCTGCCCAGAGCCACATCCAGCCTGGCCTTGAATGCCTGCAGGGATGGGGCATCCACAGCCTCCTTGGGCAATCTGTTCCAGTGCGTCACCACCCCTTGTGTGAAAAACTTCCTCCTAATATCTAACCTAAACCTCCCCTGTCTCAGTTTAAGACCATTCCCCCTTGTTCTATCACTATCTGCCCTTGTAAACAGCTGTTCCCCCTCCCTTTTATACGCTCCCTTCAAGTTTTGGAAGGCCACAATGAGGTCTCCCTGGAGCCTTCCCTTCTCTAAGCTAAACAAGCCCAGTTCCCTCAGCCTTTCTTCATAGGAGAAATGACACCCACTGGGAACGATATGGCAATGAGAACGAGGACAATGAGGTGGGACAGGGAGATCCTGCTGCGCACCTGAGCCATGGCGAGGGTCGATTTCTGACTGTTTAAAATATGGGATAACTAACTAATGCTGTTTGGGATTTTTTGGGGGCTCAATCCCAGCATTTGTGTCTCCTTCAAGGCACATGAAGCACCTCACGTTCACATCCATGAAGTGGGAGGCAGCGATGCTGGAGTGGCTGATGCCTCAGCAGTCAGGTGCTGTGGGAAGAAACAGCTCTTTACTGATGGCTGCATCACCTGTCCAACGTGGCTAATGAGCACTCCTACACCACAAGTCTGGTGATGCCATCACCTGTGTAAAAGGTTCTCATTTTGAAATGGAGGAGCCCTGCCCACCAAGTATGTATGTGTTCGTACCAAAAACACTTTTTATAACGATAGCATCGTTATTTTGTGTTAATTAGTGCACATCCTGGTTTTCTGGAATTGAATCGAATTCCTACTAGGAATCGGAAGTAATTAAAGGCAAGATAGTAATTAACAGAAGGAGAGCAAACGGAGGTAAACATCCTGAGGATACTGAACCACGTATTTCAGCTCACCACCACTTCCCGTGCAAAAGGAAGCTGAGTCTTGGTGGCTCCCGCACTGCAGCCCTACTTTTCACATGGCATTTCATTCTGCATGCTTAATGAAAAAGAAAACCAACACAGGATTATCTCCCATAACTAACAAACACAGCACAGAAACTAGATAATACATTAAAGCTCCCACGTGCCAGTCTGTGACCCATGAGAACTTTGCTCTGCTCCTATCTTTCTCAGTTATGGCCTTGAGCATGTCCAAATGACTTTCTAACACTTTCAGATTCGAGGTGATTCACAAAGCACTGAACCCTCTGGGGCCACTGCGGGGTGAGGCTGTGTGCTCACTGACTGCTCCCGGTGCTATGGGGAGATCTGGGCCACGCTGAGAACAAAATCCCCACTGGAGGATGTTTATCTGTCACAAGAGTCACAACCTGATGATAGGACTGTCGTAGCAATACAGCTTTCTGCTGAGACAACAGTTCTGGTGTTCATATTTACGTCGGTGGATGAGAGCAGGGTTCTTCCGTGACTCAGATCAACCACTGCTGGGAAATGCAGCGCTTTAGAGGAGCCTGAGCAACTCCCCGAGATCAACAGCTTCTGTTGCTCCTTCTCTTAGAGCTCTGTGCCCGATGCCACGCAGCACGGACAGAACGCCAGGGCTACAAGCAGCTGCAGCAGAACCCAGAGCAAGGCTAAGCTGCTTCCTCTGCCAGGAGCTCACCGCAAGGAAGCGGGGATTTCCCACGATGCTTAGAGGAAAAACAGCCATTTTGAAATCTACTGATAATAATAATTAAAAAAAAAAAAACAAAAAACCCAAAACAACGCAATTGGCCTCTGAATCCCAAAGAGCCTGAAATCATTCTGAAACTATCCGGGGAATGCCGGAGCAGCTGCAGAATCTGCACCATCACCGCTGGGCAGAGCTTTCGTAAACCGT